CAGAGGGGTATAACAAACAAGAAATGAAACATTGACAGCACACAAGAAAAGACATCACCTAATGGTTAGCAACTGTGCCCCTAATAAAATCCACAAAATCTGATGAGTTACAAATGTGTTGATAGCCTTCAGGGATTTGGGATGGGAAAGGATGATAAGGTGTACAATAAAATCATGTACAAGGTGAAACAATATAAGCTTTGTTTTACGTAGGACCATATCAATTCAGTTTATCCGCAAGCCTTTAAATTGATTGCCCATGCCCATTACTAAACGACATGACATAAAAAAGTTTTGGTTGCACTTAGATAGTTTAGAATTTCAATTTAGTTAAGTTTTTTTGAATGCACAAAATATGTTCTACTGTCACACATAGAAAACAAAGAAACTATAAAAAAAGACAGGATACTGAATAAAAAAGAATAACAATTAAATTGTATTTTATTATTGGATTGGGTGAAACACATAAAATTATTGCTATATTAAAAAAATAATAACAAAAACTTTCAAGTACAACAAATACAAATAGGCTAAAGGAAATTGGATTTTACTGTACAATTATCATAACCTTTAAGAGTATCTATAGAATATGAGAAAATGAATGATTAACATTCTATGTCTCCTTTAAAGTTTGTCTTCACTTATGGTCTTATTTTTTATTAATCTTATGTACAGTTTTAAATAAACCTTTCCAATTAGCTGATTTTTTTTTCTATAGAAAAAATATCATATCAAAATATTTATTAATGTTAAACATTAAGGTCCATGTTAGTTGTAAGTAAGTATTATGTAACACAATACTATATTTTAAAAATTTACATTAACTTTTCACATTTTATAGGTTAGTATCATGTTTCACTTAATAAGTAATAGAATCAAGTTAAACAAATATTTAGTCAATTGACGGATGGTCAAATTAAACTTTAATTGCCGATATCTAAGCAATAAAGGCTGCCTTCTTGCCTAAATTCTAATAAGAATTATGTTTTAACTTTTGTTACCTTCATCATTCATGATTTCATGGTTAAATTTAGTTTCACTGGCAATAAATATATACTTTAAACAACACTGAACACATTTAACAAGTACACAAAAGCACAATTCTTAACTAATCACCCAACAATAAAGTTTGTTTTAAAGTTTTCGAAACTTTTTTAAAACTTTTCAAATGATATCGCGGATGTTCTGAATGTGGTACGCGATATAAGGTGCGAGATACATTCCGCAAACTAATCATAATTCGATATTGAGACTAAAATCAGATAACACGAACTAATTTATTGTTTTCTTTGGTGTGTAACGCTATAAGTACGAAAGAAACGAAGCACGTTTGTCAAAATTATCTGTTGTCACTTTTTTCTGACAATAACGTTTCGTTTCCTAGTAAAAATCAGAAAACTTAAAGTTTCAATTTATAATATACCTACAATTTTTTTGAAAATATTAGTATTCAGTAACATCAAATTTTGATTTTTACAATAATAATTTATACAAATAGTTATATGATGAAATGTTAATGAAAAATATACAAGTACACTATTCAACCATTTTTTTTTTAATTTTTCTAAAAAAAGACATAAAAACTAGTAATAGCAACTATTATTATCGTAAATTAAAAATCTTTATAGTATTACTGAGGCATAATTTTTCTCAGGTCACATTTTACATTTGACAGCATCAGCATCAAAATGTTATATGTTATCTGTGAACAGTCATCAGCGTTGGATTTGTGTATGAGCGGTTGCGTCGTATTTCGATTGTTTGTTTTAATTTTGTGGTTATTGAATCAATTAATAAATATTTCTGTTTACAACTTATTTTTCTCAAAATATAGTTTATTCGTGAAAGTGAACGCAGTGACTTTTAAGTTGAGATGTAGTAAACAAAAACAATAGGTTACTTAGGGACCCGCGAATAACTTTAGAACTTTTCACATTAGTAGTTTTTTTATACTTTATAATGGTTTAAATAATTAGTGCTGTAGTTTACAACTTCCAATTGAGATTAAGATAGTGATGAATTATTTTTGTAATCTCTAATACTTACATTAATAAATTATTACAAAAGTACTACATGTTTCATTTTTACACATCATTAAATTAAGCATGTTTAGTCGGAACTTAGAAGTGTTTTCATACGTACAACTTGACAACCATTACTAACATCATTGGGTATTTTCAGTTGCAAACTTCATACCGACAAGAAAAGGTAGTTTATTGCTGGTAAATAAAGGATATGCGTTTCGTCTGAAAAATAAGCTGGCCTATGGAAAGAAACAATGGTACTGCACATCACGTACAAAGACTGGTTGTAATGTGGACATAACAACAGTGGTTCATCGACTAGGACAAGTGATTAAAAGAGTAAGAAATGTCCACAATCACCCTCCACATGGATTTTACCGTCGCAATGATGGTTCTTTTAAGGTTGTATAAGACTGAATTGATGAGACTGAATTTACCTGTAAGACTGTTAGGAGTATAACCATACAGTAAGCTAAATGCATTCTCTCTGGATACATAGTATAGGTCTTTCCAAATTAGAATGTGCATTATGTCTGGAATATTTGTTGTAATTTGGGTTGAAATCATTAAGAGTATAACAAAATATTTTGAAAAATATAGTAATTGTTTTTGCAATTGTATGGCTATACTCTATGTTTTGGCCTTCTCCAAACCATATAAGACTGAAATTTCCCTTTTTTCATACCACTTATATTATACATAATCATGATAAGTCTGATAATTAATTTTCTACCTCAAATACATTTTTAAACTTAGTTTTAGTTTAAGTATAAGTTTTATAAACAATAAATTCTTTATTGTTTTTTACCGTTTTTTACTCATGGTAATTATATTAATGTAATAAAGACAAAAATCTGTGTCTATGGATTGTAGTTTTTAAGTTTTATTTTCATTAAGTATGGCTTATGTTGGTGGGTACTTACTTTGTAGTATAGTTTTTAGACAATAAAGTGTATATGATCATATTCCAGTAGACTGATGAATTACTTAAATAAGACTGATTGTAATACTCACTCTACCTCAAAACCTTTGTAATATTATTAAGATACCTTTTATAAGAATACAAACTTTGTATCTAAGCATGTATTTTATTTCATTTATTTATGTACCTAGTTCAGAGCAGGACCTTTGAAACTGTTAACACATTCAGTAACTGTTTTTAAACTATTGTTCTACCAATATTGTTTATTTTACATTAAAGATTAATTTGAATTTGGGGACAGCTGCATACCATGGTCACCATTACAGTATAAACTCTAGTAAGACCTGACCTAAAGATCTTAGATTTTTTAAATAGAATGCTACACTATGCTCTCATATGCAAACCAAACTGAAAGTCCAAATAAGCGCAAAACGTTTATTAAAAATATTAATTAGGTATTTACAAAACACACTTAATTACTATAATGCACTTATCCATACATAAGTACCAATGTACTAGTATAATTATTATACTTCTAGAAAGGCAACTCGTGAATCATAAAACAAATGTCATTTTGAATAATTTGGCAAAACAATAATTTTATATATTATAAAGCTAGAGTTTGTTTGAACGCGCTAATCTCCGGAACACACTACTAAGTTAGGCCATATAGGAGGAAGCCTATAGGCTATAAAATATTACGCTACGATCTGTAGGAGCAGAGCAGCGAGTGAATCCGCGCGAGAGTAGCTAGTTCAAACATAAGTACATAAATTTTTCTTCAATCGCATCAAAGGATACGCATCTAAATAAATAAATACATATATTAGCAAAAAACTCATTTCGAAACATAATCATAGATCCTAAAACTTATTTATACATAGGATAGAAGTACCTACTTATTTGATTTTAAAAAGGCAAATTGGGTATTGCTTTTTATGTCTTTAGGAAAAAGGGATAATACTATGACATGATCGCAGACAGATTGGTATAAATTAGTGTAAGTTATTGAAGTGAATTGATGTCCAATCTTTTTTGATACACAATTTTGTAGGTCCCGTTAGATTTTTGATATTTCAATTTGATATTGAATTTAAAGCGACTCCGTGAGCAGAAATGCAGTGATTGGGTTTCAGACGGCACGGCGGTATGTTAATTTATGTGGTCATTTATTATCTTTTTTCGCTAGCAGCAGGTAAACGAATCATTAAATATTATCTATGTAGATACCTATTGAATTCATAACTGGTCCAACAATCTTTAAAACTCTTCAGTTACTGACTGACAGACAACGCCGCTGAATATATAAGTAGCTAAAATTTGGCACGTGTGTCCGATGAAGAAGGAGTAGGACTAAAACATATTTTTTGGAAATTCCCCAAGGGGAGAAAAAATTGTTTAAATTGTTTCTGGATGTTTTTGGTTCGAGTACAACGATAGATAGAGAGAAGGGTAAGGTAGTGCTATTTTTTCAACACGAAAATAAAGTAATAAATAATAATAAAGCGAAGCGGCGTGGTTGATATTGGATGCTTATAAATATGCAGCAATGGACGATACTAGACCAATAGCTCTGTCAGTCTGTTATGATTCTTATGATCTTACAGAATTATATTTCTTTCTTTCAATATTTTGGGAAGTGCCCAGGAGGAAAACCGGGCAAGTGATTGTGATTACCTAATTCAGTTATAATAACGTTGTCAACAGTTGTAAGAATATGAGCCCTGCAGCTCTTAACTTTAGAACAATACCACCGCCAACCAGTCTTAAGGGGATACGGAAACCGCGAATACGTATAATTCTTGTATACTATCATGGTTCTGCCTCGTTTCGACGTAACCGCGTAAGCTGAAAGTAACACAAAATTTAGTAATTTTCCTACTAACATAAAACAAATAAATAAAGCTAAAAAAATGGAACATCATTAAAAATAAGCCCCATAATATTTACTTTATTTTATTAAATAGTATATTTGATACACTAATCATAAGATTTAATATTAGATTTAGTTAAAATTACGTCCAGTACCTAAAAACATAGAAAACTAATGTTTATCAATCGGTCTCTATAATTAGTGGTTCCCTAAGGGCTCCGATTAGATGATCTGGCTTAAGATAGTATTTCGGGGGATTATGACAGTGCTCTTCGAAGGCAGAAATGATGTAGTTGTTGTTATCGGTGAAGACACAACCACGGCAGTTCTTGAGAGTGGAGCAAACCCAACGAGATCTGTTGCCCTTGTCGTACTGCTTCCGATATGTAAACTTGCGGAATAAAAGCATCTCCTTGCCTTTTCGGGACGTTATAACCACAGCCGTATCTACAGAAAGAATTACAAGTAAATTAATAAAACCATAGTATATCTAATTCCACAACAAAAATGTTGTTCAAGACATACCACTTTGGTCCGTGTCGACATTTTCGAACCTTGTTGGTCGATGATGATCATGTTCTTCATACGACATCAGGATCTCGTCTTGGTCATTTATAAACAGAAAAGCGGTGCAATGTTTGTTAACGGAGCAATTCCAACGGGTTCCACTCTTGGTTTTATATGCTTGGCGGTATCTATGACCATTGTATTGGAGAACTGTTTTTCCTCTGCGTGACTCTACTAAAAGAGCTACATTATTTGATACTCCATCTACACCTTCTGCAATCGTTTCCTCCTTAGTTTCAATGTCATATTTTTCTTCTAATTCTTCAGCAATATTGGCAGTGTTAGTATCCACGGCTTCGACTCCCTCTAGTGGGCCTTCGACCGGTTCGATTGCCACTGCTTCAATTGCAAGTGCTTCAACTGTGACTCCTTCAACTGGAGACAATACAAATTAACCTTTATCTTTGTACAAAAGAAAATTAAATTAGTAATGATACAAATTGTATTAGGTATTTCTTAACTTCAAAGGTTTTCACACAGATTACCGAGCCATTTTAATTACGCCTTTTATTTAACTAAAAGTTGAAGTATGTATATGAAATGAAACTACGTATTTAAATTTTATTTACTATTTATTAAATCAGGCATTGTAAATTTATTGCAATCAAATTAACAATAAAACAAAAGTTAATTGCCTTCAGGCGCTTACAACATAATAGGCGTCTTTGACGATTGCGTAAAACTTATAAAAAGTTAAAAATACAAAAAGCATACTGCAATGAGATCTTGGATTTGATATTCGAGAAGTTAAATCAACTACTTAGTATAAGGTTTGAAAACTAAAGATCCCTTTTGCATTTGATCTAACTAAGTAAAAATAGTACTTAAAGTAGAATTGAAGCGAATACTGCTTTTAAATGAGGATGCTTAGAAAGAAAGAACGACTAGAAAATATACAGGCAAACGTTGTGAGGAAAGGAAGGAAATAATAATAAGTGAAAAGATCTTTTTAATTCGATTCTCCATATCATTCGTATCAAACTTCTTGCCATAACAAACCCCTTTGTCTCTCATATCGTTCTACTTATAATCTATCATATATATTTTACTAATAATCGTCCTTTATATTCATCCACATTAAACTCAGTACTCAATTAATCATAAGGATTCAAAAAAAAAAGAAAAACACCGTAAAATGTCCTCAACAACTCTTAAGGTTAAAAAATGCCATCTTTGTTTTTGACGTTAAATTATTTTATTTTGGAGCACTTTACAGAATATCGGCTCGTGATTATGATCGTTTGCCGTGAAAACTACTTGGAATCTGTCATTGACATGAATGTACACATCACATTTGCTGTCTGTCGGTTCACTGCAGCACCATCTTGTATGTATTCTTCTTTCTTTCGACACGGAATATTCTTCTTTAAAGGTGTACCCATTGACAATGAGTAAAGTCTTACCCGTAGACAAGGTGACAACTGTAACTGAAGATAAAAAACATGGCAACAAAAGTTTCACAAAAATGAAGCTTAGATCATCTTATAGTGATAATCATGAAGACGTCATTCATTTATAAAAAAAACTCCCCAATATACAATACATCGAATAAGCTTAAAACAAATCGTCCTAATCATCGAATAACTTTATCTTCTAAACTATCTACTAATAACTACCTATTTGCTCTTTTTTATCACTAAGTAATATTAACTTATAGCTAAAATTAAATAAATTATACAAAACGAAATTTATTATTTTAATCATAGAAAGTATAATACTTAATTTGAAAGAAAATCACAGTCACGTCTTAATCTATGACAAGTGCATAGTTTGCTGAAAATTTTGAGTAAAAGTAACTATAAGTAGTTTATCATTTTAATACTTAGGCTAAGAACTCACGGAGCGATTTTCGCCCGCGTCCGCTGCGGTTGCGGGCCCGCAGCTTCTGTAGAATTCAAATATTTATATAAAAAATTAAAGCACATTTCACGACGCGTTTTACGCCCGCGGTGTACGCGGTTGTATGCGGCTCCCGCTGTACCGGCGGGCAACTAGTAGAATCGCGCGGGCCGCGGTTACCCGCAGCCTCGGCGGGTGGCACCCGCGCGCTTTGCGATCGGTTGGCGAGCGACCGCGAGGGCCGGCGGGTCTTCTGTGATGTAAATATAACGCATCATCCGATCATCGCCCGCCACGTTTGCGGGCGATGATCGCAACCGCGGCGGCTGTGTAACCGCGCAAATAACCGGTCTCGTGAGTTTGGAAATAAAACCGCAGTTCTGCTACCGCGGCGGGCACGGTTCAAAATCGCTCCGTGAGTTCTTAGCCTAAGTCGGGTCATAAGTTCTGTCAAAACCTTATATTTTTAATTTTCGATTACTGGCCAGAAATTCTTCGACTTATTTTAAAAATAGAACTTTCGCGCTTGTAGAAAATAAAAAAGAAATTATTTTTTATTCATTTTTAAATATGGAGTGGTCGAATAAAGAAGACAGAATCGCGGTTATCGCGTTGCACCGCTGTGGTTACGCGCCAAAAGACATTTTCAATATTCTTCAAAATTTGAAAATAACGTTACGGTTTGTTTATCGTACTATCAAACGATACACCGAAGAGTCAAGCTTCGAAGATCGTAAGAGAAGCGGCCGACCTCGCACGGTTCGGACACATAAGGTCATCAAAGCAGTGAAGGCGCGAATCGAACGAAATCCCGTACGTAAACAAAAAATCCTAGCTCTGCAGATGGGGCTAAGCAGAACCACTGTTAAAAGAGTACTAAATGAAGACCTGGGACTACGAGCTTATCGTAAAAAGACAGGACATTTTTTGAACGAGCGTTTAAAAAAAATTAGGCTAGACAGATCCCGCGCTTTGCTACGACGGTACGCGGGAAAAAAATACCGCGAAATTCTTTTTTCGGATGAAAAAATTTTTACTATTGAAGAAAGTTTTAACAAACAAAATGATAAGGTGTATGCCCACAGCAGTGAAGAAGCAAGCGCGCGTATTGCGAGGGTCCAGCGTGGGCATTACCCTTCCTCATTCATGGTTTGGCTTGGAGTCTCATATTCAGGCGTAACTGAGGTGTTTTTCTGTGAAAAAGGTGTGAGAACTAGTGCCGAAGTTTATCAAAATACTGTCCTAACAAACATAGTGGAACCTCTTTCTCAGACAATGTTCAGGAACAGGCATTGGATATTCCAACAGGACTCTGCACCGGCTCATAAGGCACGAAGTACGCAAGACTGGTTGATCGCTCGTGGAATTGACTTCATCCGGCATGAAGACTGGCCCTCTTCTAGTCCAGATTTAAACCCACTGGACTACAAGATATGGCAATATTTGGAGGAAAAAGTCTGTGCTAAACCTCACCCGAATTTGGAGTCTCTCCGAGCATCTCTGGTTAAAGCAGCGGCAGACATAGATATGAATGTGGTGCGTGCAGCGATCGATGACTGGCCGCGTAGATTAAGGGCATGTGTTCAAAATGGGGGAGGGCATTTCGAATAATGTAAATAAAATTATATTGTACATTTAATGACCTTTCATTTCATATATAATTTTTAAATAATTGTCAAAAGGCGTATAAGTTATTACATCAAAAGTTTGTGACAGAACTTATGACCCGACTAAGTACATAATCTAAGATATAAACAATTTATTAAGAGCTGATTTTTCAATAGTCAGACAAATGTTATCCGAGGAATAAAATTGTTGCTGTCACTGTCTTATGCGAACATTCTGACGCGACATTATCATATTCTTCCCCAGATAAGTTTTATCTAATCATTGAAAAATCAGCCCTTAATGGTTTGTGACGTATAAGAATAACTTGACGGAATATTCGAAAAGGTAAATAACAATACAAATACCTAATAAATGTAACGAGATTTTATATTTGAGCGCCGTTCTTTCAACAATAATATAAATAAAATCAGTCACTAAATTATTGCAATAACTTCATCCATTTTCATTGCCTACATCATCTATCATGCGACGAACCTTAGTTTAATAATAAAAAGACATTATTATGTACAAAAAACTCATCTTAATTTCACATATCTCCCATTATGAATAAAAAATTTTGGGGCACTATGGTTATGTTCTCTAAAGTAAGATATTATATTATTATGATTGTCGAACTTAATTTTAGCCTTGCATCCCGCTGTGGTTCGCTTCGAGCAGTTCCAATACCTAAAATCTTTTTTGACTTGGTTAAACGTATGGTCTTCTATCAATAGCAAATGTTTTCCACGTCCAGATGGTATAAATTTGAAGTCCAAGTCTGAAAACAGATATTTTGAATTATAAAACGGACGTTAAGTGACTCAAAGGTATCCAAATGGGTATTTAATAGGTTTTCTACTCGTATAAATAGGTTTACGTTTCACGTTTACCCACCTGTGAACATACTATGCATGGAAACCGTATTTTTTTTGTTAAAAGTAGCGTATATGTTTATAACCCTTTAGACCCATCAATAAACCTCATTCCAACCGCCTCGTCCGTAGTTTTTAATTGAAAAGTTACAAAACTCTCAAACTTTCGCAATTATAAATTTAGCAAGATAGAGATAATCGCATCTGGATGCACGAAAGAAGCACTATACGCCATTTTGAAATTTTGTAGCTGCCATTTTAAATTATTTAGGGGGCTGGAAGAGGGTCGTCGGAAACCTTTGTTACCGTATGTTTTGTCGAGATCCCAAATCTACATTCATCTTTTTCGAATAATTTCGAGGTATAACAAAATAAAAAGTAGGTAACCTAATATTGAGTAAACCTTTTCACATGCAGATGATACATTTATTTAAATTTCTCCAGTTAACATTGAATGAATAAAATGCAACAGTTATGTTCTTACTATTACCTATTTGCTACGGATTAATATATGCATGTACTTAAAAAGTATTACGAAAACACCAAGAACCTCAAAATACAGAAAACTATTTAATTTTATCTCTTAATTTAAAGATTTTATTGAGCTTCTCAATATTAAAATTATTTTTATTTGGCAACATTTAGTTTTAGTTCCTACAACTTCGAACAGTTAATCTACTTCGAACACATATTTTAGTCGATATTTTACTACCACAAATAGGTACACGTTAATTTGCTAAAGTACGCCTATTTATTTGGTTACAATTAAGTATACAGTATGTTACATCTTTTAAATAATCGACAAATTTAATTGAAACTTTTTACTAGTACCTAAATGACAAACATTGATGATAAGTGAATAAGTTATACATCAATAACATTAAACCTTTATCCAAATAATGACATAGAATAGCCTCCCGGGGCGAGATTCAATAACTTTTATAATAAACACGTATAATATTTGGCAACATTTAAAACGATGGATATTTTTCATTAGTTACACAGACACAGTATACAGAAATTCTTATATCTTTTTTAAACACCTAATACACATGATGATGAAAACTTTTTAATTGTAGCTTAGGTAACAATTTCCTAAAGTACAAAGGTATTTGAGATAAAGATTGCCTGTGGAAAAAACAAGATTTTTAATAATAATGTGTACATTAAAAATCTAAAAATAATTTGACTAGAAACATCACAGTAAGTTACATTTCAACCGAAAATATAATTGGCATAACTTAAAGCTAGAAAAAAGAAATTTAAGAAATTATAATTAAATTAAGTAAATAGGTACATTTGCTATAATATAATCTGACACATAATAATTTATAGTATTAAATACTAACATTTAAATAGACATTTATAAAGATTGAGATCTTGACAGGTTTTAGTTAAACCTTTAAAAATATGATAATACCTAAGTAGGTAATTACAATTTTTTCCTATTTTAAACTCTCTACTTTATAGGTTGGATATTCATTACGAATTATGTAATTAGCGTCACCTACTCTCTACTTTTTTTTCTTTTACTGATATATTGTTTGTCTGATACTACTGTTATATGAACATTAAGATTTATTTTTCGTTATTCGATCAAAGTTCAGAGAAAACGACGACATAAAGACGTGGATCTACGAGAGACAAAATGAATTTTCTATTGAAACCATAAGGATGAAACAAGCAATGATGTCATCGAAAGAGCTCAAGCTTGCGCCATCTTTAATATACAAGATGCGAGTGCTTCAATACAAAGCATTTGACACAATAGTGTGGATTATTCTTGCAACGATTGCAGTAGCTTGTCACTTTCTGCATCCGAGCATGCCTAGCCTTTTCTGGACCGAAGAACAGAGAACAAAGTTTGACACAGTTCACGCAGTAACCATGCTTGTTGTGGGGTCCGACTGGGCGGATGAGCTGATGTTTCCTATGACGACGCCGTGGTCGCAAACGGAGAATAGGCTGGTTTCTCCAACTCGGTCGGCGTCTATGTCTACGACCCCTTCTCTCTGTGAATAAAACAAACTGTTATTTACCGCTCAAATTAAAGAAATAAGCTTATTCTAGACAAGCCTTACTTATGTTCTAAGTTCAATAGAGACACCAGTTTTGTTTTTCGAAGCAAAATAAAAGCACTGTTCAAATAAAGCAGTAGGTGTGAAGCAAAGAAAAAATAAAAATGAAAACTTACACATTATTTTGGCAAGATTTTATTACTAAATTGTCACTTCAATGTTGCCTTCCAGTTCCTGTAAGCTTGGTTGATTTATTATGATAAATACTATATTATTATTCTTAAGGACAGAACATGATGTTTCTTATAATACAAAAGTATGTTCTGATAAATATTTGACGAAAAAGTTTTTGGATTACTAAAAAAATACTTGTGTGTCTATCTACCTCCTTCAATTTTTGTAGTTTGTATATTTTTCTGCCTAGGAACTAATTTTTGCGGCAAACTTATGATGATAGAAAATTTTATGTAGCCTACATCAAAGTTTTGTCTTTTTGAGCCTTGTTAACTCAAGGTACAGTTATAAAATACTCATTACTACGACGAAGGTAAGCTGCTACTTAATAACTAATTGACTTAATAGCATGTGCGCGAAAACATTGCTAATATTGAGCATGCTAATTTACAGTCCGCTTTACTATTGACGATTGTTCGATGGTCTGGGTTGTCAGCCTAAATGTCTGCTTAAAAGAGCATGCTAAATAAAAGCAAATGCGTCATGTGTTTAAATAGTGTGCTTGCTTTTAATCATGCTCAAAATTAAGACCTATTATGAGCATGTGTAACTGCACCTTAGTACTGAAAATTATCGACGTAAAAATACCTACCTATTACAATAATTGTCTACACACGAATCAAATTCAAAACAGCGAGACATCATTTTATACACAACCTAAATATATAGCCTATAGTTCCACCAAATAGTTATTTATATATGCATGTATGTCGCTAACAACTTACTTATAACAATACAAAGTACCCTGAACATTGTAAAATAGAAAAAATCTTATAAAAACTAACGATATTTTCCTTCTTATACCTAAACACATTGAGATTATTTTAAACGTAGAAAGCTTCAACGTTATCTGAGCATTGTTACAAGAAATTATGGTACAGTTTCTATGTATAGTCCATCTGGAGTTTTTTCATATACAGGGGGTTCATGTGTGTGTTCGTTGGATATGCAAACGAGTTCGTAGTCGTCGTTGACACAGAGACAAACGTTACATTTCCACCTGATTCTTCCCGAACAGAACCAGCGTTCCCCGCCTGTCATTGGTGCAGGGTTTGTGAAGGAATACCCGTTCAGGATGAGGAGTGTTGCACCATTCACCGTGGTCACCACTGTCACTGGAATGGGATAGGCAATTGAATAGAAACTGGGTTAGTTTTATACATTTTAAACTTTTGCTCCTTTTTTTCTTTAATTGAAAAAAAATACTTATTATTAACGATCGAACCGTACCGTACTGTAGTCTTCTATTAAAATTTTGTATTTTTGCCCTTACAATTTCAAAGTACCTATTAGTATTCCATTAATCATGGGAGTACGAATGACGTTTCCTGCCATTTCAGTCTGATCATGTTTTCCACGAAGCAAAAGCGATTGGTCGATTTTTGAATGGTGAGATAAAAGTTATCTGGGGAATAATTATGATGCTGTCGCGTCAGAATGTTTGTATAAGACAGTGATAGCAACAATTTTATTCCTCAAATAACATTTATCTACACTATTGAAAAATCAGCTCAAAGTGATCAAGAAGAGAAAGGAGAATTATAATACCAGTCGTTCACACAATGCATTTATTCTAAAGAAGAAAAGCAAAAAAATCGTATTGTTACATAATAAAAAATAATAATAGCTAATAATATGATTACTTATAGCATTTGTAATGTTTTTTTAGTATTTTAATGTTAGTATACAAAACCACATACTTAAATTATAAATGAAGTAAATACGATATGATTGCCAAATGCGGAAATACAGCAAAATATGAGCAATTTTTGTTTAGAAAAAAAAAAATAGGAATTTATTTAAAAAACACACCTTTAAAACAGTCATATATATACATATGTAATTATGTAATACACACGTAGCTTGTATTGTATACAAAAACTGTTCTGAGGTAGATACGTCATGTAAGTAAATGTAAACTGTAAATGTGTAAAAACACACGTCTTATAAAAAAAGTTCTTAACAAAAAGGAAAAAATATCTTTATACTTAGCACTAAGTAAAATAGTTGCTATTTTTAATGATAATACAATGTAAAAATACGCTTCACAATAATTGGTAATGCAAATTGTAGCTTAAATAATACTATTTAAGATATAAAATATTTTTTTTTTCGTTATTTAGCCATAACTTAGTATGGACAATAAAGTAGCTACCCAAGTACTTTCTTCGCTACTTACTGTCTAAAAAGAATATATTTAACAATAAAGATGGCAATTGTTGGTCAGTCGATGTATCCATTATGACCATGTTAAAAATATTATAATTCTAATAATTAACATCCTTTTATATTCACCGTAGTATTGATTTATTTAAAGAAAATAGTAATTCTACAGCTAAAGTACCTGTAGCATTCATTACTTAGCTAATGTTAGTACCTAAGTGTTACATAGTGTTAGTACCTTAAAGTGTCAAAGCACATCTCGAGAACGGCTGAACTGACATTGAGGATTTTTTATTGTTTCTAAAAAATAAGTAAATTCTTAGAAAAATTTAGGAAAAATTGCGACTCTTTGAGGAAGCTTCCCCTTACGGGTAGTGTGGTTACAATATACATTGAGGACACACCGTTTTTCCAAAAATTTACCATAAAACTAATTACTTCTAACTAAATGTAACCACCATGATAACAATATTATTTTATCATCAATTATGAACGTTTTTAAATTAAAATAAGGGTTATTTAATTCTAAGACAAGTATTCGTCAAAATAAAGATTCCTTAATTTTAAACCTTACACAAAACACAACAAAGTAAAGTTAAGTGCTAAAATACACATGTTTCGGTTTGCTCTCCCTCTCAGGGGGTTTGTGGGTGTGACTGCCTTTACTAGCAACAACGTTGAGGTTATCATCCGTGGTCATTCGAGCTTTGCACTCTTCACTCTTGCTTAAAGTGCATTTCCACACCGTTCCCTTCTTCGATTTTGCACTCCTCGAGTATGTGTAGGATTTGTAGAGTAGTACATACTGGCCTTTCCGCTTTGTTCTTATTAAAACAGGTCCTAAAAAAGGATTTTGAATCGGTTAATACTTAATTAGTAAGTTTTTATTACTTCGGTTACCTAATGTTTATTTATTATTTCCTAGTTTTTTTAACATAACCATTACCAGAAAAACACCATGTACCTATATACCTTTATCTTGAGGGGGTAAAATCATCAAATGACTTCTCCCGCCCTAGTGGGGGAGAATGTCAGACTCGTACTGACTAAAAACCACTCTGTTACTTCTGCTCTGGGTCGGGGCTACCATACATTGTTATGTTTACTCCGCCACTCTTGCTTACCATGTGTACCTTACCAATACCTTTGGATACCAATAAAACCAATACAGAAATGAATAGTTTAATAGGTTCTTTCAAAACATAATACCTTTCACCATTACATCCGGGTTGCGGGACAGCGCAATAAGGTACCGCCTCGGTCTAGAGTAGGGCTCCCTCTCGCCTCACCCTGTGCGAGAGGACTTGAGAGGAGTCATTTTATGATTTTCCCCTCACAAAAACATACGAAAAAACCATTAAATACCTTTACCTAAACCTAGGTAAGTAGCCTGTTACATTTTTTAAATTAAAACTTCAAAATAAGACGAACTACTTTATTATTTAATCAATGATTTTAACATACATCAAACATCACACACACACATATGGGAATTAAATATTTTATTTATAGTCTACGATTAAATGTATTCTAAATTTAAATAAGACGTATACCATAGACACAAATTACACTTACTAATACCTACTACTTACTAATGATTATAATGACTAATGTCCGGTATACACAGGCTTTGTAGCTACGTGCTTTAGTGATTAGTATTGACTTGCACAATTCACAAATACTAAGCACTAATCAACATTAGGACTTAGTATTATTGAGAAGTACCTACTAAGCGCCTATCTACAAAACCCGTGTAAACCGGGCATTAAGTTCAGCTTAATATCAGAGTATTCGATTTATTTATTTTTATTCGAGTAAGTATTACTATATCTAGAAAAAGCACATTTAAACCTACTGTACTACTTAATAATGTCTTAGCAGTTACGGAATAAGAAGACTAGATTAAAATCGAGAAAGAAATCCCTCGCACATTCAATATGATACTTATACAATATACATAATAAATGTCATTTGAGAAGAAAGTTACACGATAAAAATACCCTAAAAAGTTTATGATAAAAAGTAATCAATTAATTTTATTTTGAGAACAAACATTCATGTTTTGCTTGTGCCTACTAAAGACGTAAATAAGCTAAAGCACTATCTTATGTACCAGACATTCGCGACACCAGATGATAGGAGGAGGGGGGACAGCCGGGGTTGCGTGGTAAGCGCAATGAGGCACCGCGACCTCGGCCTAGAGCAGGACAAGGAACAGGGGGGTTTTTAGTCAGTAAGAGTCTGACCTCCGGCCCTGGGCGGGAGAAGTCGTTTGATGATTTTCCCCTCACAAAAAAAGAGGAGGTGGGAAGGGACATGGAGGAGGAGGGGGAGACACTTTTTCGCAAAGTTAGGTACAAAAATTTATAGGTAATACAATACCCGAGACCCGTTATATTTCATCTTATACTTTGCTTTATGATTATGTTCACCAATTATATTCAGTACCATATTATCGAAATCGGTGACCACATTAACTTTACACTTCTTGGAATTTCGGGATGAACAGTACCATTTTACATATGTATCTCTGTGATTCACATAGCTCCTGTTGTATGTGTAATTTTTGTAAACCAATTTCGGTTCACCACGCCACGACTTCGTCACGAATGCTGGAATAAAATCATGATTAGTTTTTATAGAAAAGAGTTAATAAAAATCACTACCTACTCATGCACTATTTATTCGATGATTATTTTTCATAAAAAAGTATTTTACAGAGACATAAGGCAGCTGGCCTACTTCACTGTTTTCATATACCTAGGTACCCACGTAGGTAATATATGCCACATAGTTACCAACTATGTTCTATATTCAAAATTATCGGGCAAAAACATATTGATTGGCTAACCAGACTTTACTTAATAAACAAATTATATTTTCAGGGTAAAAAACAGAACAAATATGTAACTAAAAATAGAAAAAAAGAAATAAAAATAATAAAACAACAATTTTATGCAATTATAACATATTTATTATTTCACAGATAGCAGCTACGTAGGATAATATCACAAATATCGTTTATAACGTTCTTGCTTATAAAAAACCTACTAAAAATACCATTCACTCCCATTCATATTTAGTTCAAATTTAATGACAGTTTCAAATTTTGAAATTTACAATGACTGAATTTCGTCATAATTATGCTTATTACAAAAGCAAACTTTTGTAAGTATGGAAACTCTTTCGCTTAAAAACTTGTGAATGGCACTAAATCAACTTTGGCACAGAGACTATAAGGTAATAAATAACACTTAGGTTACTTTTTTCCTGGTATGGCAGGAGAAGCCACTGCGAAACTAGTTTAGCACTAACTAGCTACAACTACAGCTTTGTGTTACTCCCAAAATCGTTTAAATCCCCAAACTCTTTATCCCCAAAAGGCCGGCAACGCACTTGCAATTTCTCTGTTGCTGTAGGTGTCCATGGGCGGTACAGATTGCTTACCATCAGGTAATCCGTTTCAGGTCACACGAATAAAAGCATTTTAACTATACCTCAGTCTTTTAATTATGACCTAGTATTATTAGGTCAATCGCAATAAAAAGGCGGACAAAATTTTTTTTTCCTATAACAAAAGGCAAAGTGCCAACACACCAATACAACATACCTATACTATCTATAAAAATCTCTAAAAAAAATTAAATGAGATCCTTATTAAAGACACCTTCCAAATGGGTAGATAGTTACACTTACCGACATGTATTTAAAACAAAAAAAAATATTAGTCCTTATCTCTTATTAACACTTTTTTCCAAAAAAGTTGCCAATTGGGTATAAAAGGCAGCAATTATGAAATAAAGTTGTTATAGTTAAGTATTTAAAATAAAACAAAAAATACTCCAATAGTCATTGGTAAAACTAAACAAATTCAACCCTACTATGGTCCTTATCATGGGTACTATAAACAAAAATATCATAAAACCAAAACAAAGTTATCACAATTCTAGGATTTTTGGTACATATTTGCTATGCATTTTATGACCACTTCAAACAAATCAAGATAACATTAATTTATAAAATAATATTGCACATAACCCATTAAAAACATGAATTAATTATTAAAATCTTCAATATAATCACTACCAATATTATTTTCATTTGAAATATTTGCATTTTCAAGTTGTCTTTTGGTTAACCTCAAGTACCTGCCCTCATCATTTACATAGAACACTGGGGGAGGGTGAGTATGGGTACCCTCCAGGACTCGAAACTTGCCCGTATTACTCAAGGTAACCTGGGCCTGACATTTCTTAGAACACCGCGAAGAACAAGTCCATGAAACCGCATGCTTACTCTTACAATTCTTTGCGAAAGTATACTGTTTGAAGACTAGCAACTTATTGCCTTTTTTAGAAGAAATAAAATGAATCTCTGGAACAATGGAATTACATGATTCCGTATTTATTTCTTAGCATGATTTTAAGTTAAAAATGAAACACATTATGAAACAGTATTGAATGATTTATTAAAGAATTACCAACACCTTATATTCTAGTTTGAACTTTGCAAATAACTAACATCAAATGTATTCAATATTTGTGGGTAGTCTGATTTTTGGGGGAGGATGTGTGTGGTCATCATTATATTTTGTAACCCTGAAGGGATGATTGTCTTCATTTGTGGATACATTAGCTTTACAGCCTTTCTTGTGATGGCTGGAGCATGTCCAATAATTACCATACTTCTTGAAGTTCCTCCAAGAGTAAGTATAGCCACGGAAATACAGCATACCCTGTCCTCGTCGATTTTTCGAAGGTATGATAAATGCATCTACAAAAATAATAAATCAATACTATACTTAACATTGGTTTGGTGTTTGGAATCTTATAATTTATCAAGAAAGTTATACATCCAGACTTTACTTCTTCTGCTCACTCCTCTGCCTTCAGGTCTTCCTCTCTACTAAGTATAAAAGCTGAAAGAGATTATTTAGTTCTCTACTGTAAACTTAATTTCAGGGTACCCTCATAGTGTTAGATTCAGAATAACATACCATAACATACAAGTAAAAATCTTTAGAAAAATAAAATCAAGTACAGTTTTCAATATAGTTTATTCTTTACAAAATTAGTTTCACAATCAT